AAAGGAGGCCAAGGAGTGTATGAAGAGCATGAATCTCATAATTGCTCTAGAACGTCACAGTCATGAGGCACTAAGCATGCTGACATAGCGTGTGAGAGTTTATGAAAGTAAAATTAAAAGTTATGAGTCCCAATGTGCATTCAAAATCCAAAATGCCATATTTGAGCTGGTCAGAAGAAAGTTTCGTAGGAAACTAGACGAGGAACAACCTGTTAGCCACAATGTAGGGACAGAAGAAATCAGAGATTTCTAGGCCAAGATGTAAAATTCGGAAATGGAAGATGATGACATTCGACACAACGAGTATCTGGAAGAATTAGTTTCAGACTATGAAGTGCATAATACTTTTTCAAAAAACGAAAACATTAGATCATAGTTTAGCCCCACTAAAAATAATGGAAGAAGGAAACTAACCTCCGCTAAATAATTTTTTTATCTGATATGTAAATCAACGCTTATAACTCTACATACAGAAGTAATCTCACCGCTATAAACTAAAATTTTTTATGGTTAAAATTAATTCAGAAAAGCTGGGCTTTAAATTTTGCCATGAAAAACCAAACGACATATAAAATTTTAACAATAGTTTTCAGGTATCGGCTGGTGCAAGACATTGAAAGCTATTCATTTGCGCAAATATGAAATTTAGACTGAAATAATATTTCAACTTTAATTAAAGCATAACCGCAGATTATCATCTTGAATATGTGGTTTTATTTTCGAAAAAAAATCCAAGTACATGGGCTAGTGAAAAAGTGCTCATAACATTATTTAAGTACGATGAAAATATCTCTAATAAAAAAGATGATTTAGTGAGTTCATCTGCTTGAAATTATTTCCATGAAAATGGAACGGAGGTTTGTCAGAAATATCTTCGTATGTAAAGAGTGCTTTGAAAGTTGTATCGGCGAAATGTGTATAAAATTCGCATGCCTGGCTGCAGTCTGACAGCAAATCTCTTTCGATAAACGAAACACATCGTTTACGCGTAGCAAGATGTAAAATTTTTTGGTTTCTAAAGTTCTCATTTCAATCTGATGTAAGTCATTATTCCTAAAAGCATAAAGGAATAACAAGATTATATAATTTAAAATATGCTCTGAAAATAAGCCAGATGAAACAAATCATTCGAATGCTATTTCAACATAATGATTAATTCATACATTGCACCAGATTGTCCATCAGCTGTGATGCCACATGGAGCCTTTTCACTAAAAGAACTTGGTCGAACATTGGTTAACAATGCAAGAGAAAAAACTGTCTGCAAACGAATAATTAGTTTTTATTTTACGTCTATATTTGCTTGAAACCAGGAAATTGCAGAGCAATTTGTAAATACCTGAATATAGCATCAATTATGTCTTTAACAACTCCGTTGATTTTCATCTGCACTCCATCCCATTTTATACAGTATAATTTCTCCCATCGACGAATAAAACTGTTGCAATCCATCTTCAGTGAAAAGGGAAGTATAAACGAATACTTGAGCAAACAAGTCAAGAGATTCGTGCAAGCGTTGAAAAAAAAGAAAAATGATAAGATTGTAAACAAATGTGAGATACCTATATAACAAGGATCATGAATGAACCACAAGATCAAGCTGTCCAGAAATGAAAAAAATGCAACTTTCATTCAAAATCTTATTCTTATCGATGTAACTGAAGACAGTCAACTGGGTATCGTAATCATCCAGTTCGCAAGCGAAAAATTCCTATAATGAATGACGAAATCAAAAAAAAAAAACCTTTCACACATATATGTTGTAGTAATTAGCAACGACTGCTAAACTCAAGAGACTCATAAAAATTTTGAAACTTTGCTCATAGAAACCAGTCCTGAATATCTGAATATGCTGATTTTAATGAGAATCTTAAAAAGTATTTTCATTACCTCAATGTACTAGCATTTTACTTGCAATGCAATGACTCAATACACTTCACAAATTTAATATAATCCTAAGATATTTGCGAAGATATTTAAGATCAAATTCAATTGAAAACTACTTTACAGCAAGTCGTACAAAAAATTTTTGTACAAGGATAGTTTCAAAGGCCGCAAACTACACAAAAATAATGCATAATGCAAGTCAAATTTCACCATATTTCCGTTGTCGCGCCTTTGAGAACAAACAGGTTGATGAATATATTTACAATTTATAAAAGTGTCGCAACTTCAAATTTAATTGAATATTTTTCTAATAATTTTCACTTACACTGACTAATAAAGGAGTGTTACAATAGACTAATATTAGTTACAATCTTCAGCCCACTTTCAATAAGGCGAATGATGTATGAAATGTTATCGGTTACGTGAGTGTCCAAATGAAAATTTCCACGCTTTATAATTCAGGTATTATCCATATTCCTGCATCTAAAGAAAATGTTCTTTTCAAGCTGATCCACTAACATCAAACAATCTTTAGTTAATTTGAATTTTAAGAAAAGCTGGACACAAAAAGCTTTCAGCGTAATAGGTCCCATGAAGTTTCCTACTGCAATAACTGAAGATCTATTTTACTCTCGCGATATTTGTGGCGCACTGTAGCGCCTTTAATTGTTAAAACCCATCCATCATACGGAAACTGATTAACCACAGCTTTTGGATTTTTATCATACAAGAGTCTAAAACATGATATTTCTATATTAGTAGATATAAAGCAAAATGTAAAGAAAATAGATTGATCTAGAAAGCTCCTGTTTGCCCAAAGAAAACTGATTTATCTTGCACCTTGAACTGTGAAACAATATATTTGATGACCTTTTCAGTTCATGAAATGAGTTTTAGACAGCTTGAATAACCCATTAACTTTGAGCACGTAAATTAAAATTCGACTTTTAAAAGTGAGTTACCTATAATTGCTGAAATGCTTTTGCATTCAATACGATCAACTTTTTCATATTAAGCATATTTCAGGCTAGAAAACATTTCCATATTATCGCCAAACACACTAACCTTTCTTGAAAACAAATTAATACTAGAACTGCAAAAGGAGCATTAATCAGTAAGATATCAAGAAGACCACCACGCTGAAATCCACTTTTAATGATAAACTGCAGCTAGAAATTCGATCTAATTTCCTGCATACTGCCAGTTGTACTTATAAAACATGCAATCTTGAACTGGAACGTGAAGAAAAGTAATTACAAAAGAATAATGTGAATACTGTGAAATGTGATTTTGGAGCAACAATACACACAATCTTTTTTCCTGCCAAATCAGCAGGAGTCCATGGAAGCATCAAAACTTTACGCCAATTTGGCTTATTTCTCAAGATCATTGTATCACGTGTAACAAGTTCTGCAATGCTGAACTTGGATTTACATCAATAAACAATTTAAAGCAAAAAAAAAAGTTGAAAACAAACTCACTTTCGGCTTTAATATTTCGATTTGGAAATAGTAATGAATGAGCGATATTTTAAAGTGTGTGAAAGACAGGTACCGTACGACAGTTGTGGCTAACAGTGATTAATGCGAACGCTAAATTCATCCGGCATATACTACAGCGCAAATCACATTCATTTGGTTCTTATAAAAAACTGGTAAGTTTTCATCTCAATACTTCTCAAGCTAACATCTTTTTCAGCATTCAGAATGCAATTAAGTCACAAAATTTTGTGTGACAACAAAAAAATTTGTAGATACATCAGTTCTAGTAAGGCTTTCGACTGCACTACCACAAACTTGTGCGAAAATTCAGTAAAATTTTAGTACACGACAATATATGAATTAAAAATCTTCTTCAGACACATACCGTAAAATTGATGTTAGACAAAATTTTTGAACATCAGATCATTTAAAAGTTATATAAGACTAATCCAAATATTGATCTAAAGACTTACTATTTATAATATTTCAGACATGAAGAACTGAGTAAGGTTAAGACAAATTGATTTTATTTAACTTGAAATAATAAAGAACGATAAGTACTTTCGCCATGCAAATATGCTTTTAAATGATGCTTTTCGAAATTGACTCTATGTTTCATGCTATTTAATACATTCTCGTTGCTACAACTAGGTTTGGATTCAGCGTTAATCTTACATGATGTTGATCTTACATGACGTTTGTACTTCATCATCGCTTCCTTCGTAATCAGAATGTGTCTGCTGTGGTCTCAATCTTCTCCTCAAACAATTAAGTGAAAAAGATGAAGTGAATATAAGCTCTCAAAAAATATAACAATCTGCTAATAATGATAAATCTTGATTAATGAAAGCGTGATGTTGCTTACCTATATAAGGGACCAAGTCAGTAATTGAAAACCAATAGTTAGGTTCATTTGATTATCCTACTGAGTTTCATTAATTTTTCTTCAAAAAAGAGGCACACTTCAGTATTACAAATCTAGCACGCCCAATCCAACAGGCCAGGGACTTCATTTAGCTGCTTACGTGCAATTTGTGGATGAAATGTCCAAGCATGATCGATCAGAAAAATGCTGTATAGAATCAGCACTAGGAATTTTGATTAAAAACAACTGAAAACAACGGTGACATACATGTCTAATAAATGCATTCGATTTTTAAGTAAAAAAAAGAAGTTGGAAGAAGTAGAAGTCTTTTTTCTTATTGCAGTGCATCGGATTACTTGGTTTAACAAGCACATTATCTTGTACCAAATAGGTGGTGTTACTGCTATAAAACTAACACATTTGTGCCAACAGTAAGACCAAAATTTTTTCAAAAAGAAATACGCTAAATCTTTTGATGAATAAGCAGATAATTTCATCCTTTGCCAACAATATGACGTAACAGGAATTTTAATCGAAATTCGACTATCCTGATGTACAGCAAAATGAATGAGAATTCGTTGCAGATGGTAATTTAGATATTAATCAAAGAAACCAGATCGAAATCTCTTTTTATCATGTTCTTTTTTACTGGAAACTGCAGGACTGCTAACTTGCTTTGAACATCTGCTCTCACGAATTGCAATGCCACTACCGAGTAATGACTGATGATATTTTCACCGACTTCCTCTAAAAATTCGAAAATGACTCATCAGTATCAAACACTACTTTGATAAGTTTTTCGTGCCAAAAATGTTTTGGTGCATCACATGTGCTCGTGCCTTGACTCGAAATCACTGCAGTTATCGACAGTGCTTTATATTTGCATTCTTTTTAATTAGATAAATTAAAAAGAATGCAAATATAAAGCACTGTCGATAACTGCTTATATTTATTTTAATAAAATCTGAAGCGGAAAAGAGAAAGAAATGACTCGTACCTTGACTGTATTGTAATAGCAAAATAAATATGTGAGAACAAAGAAAAACAATTACAAATAAGAGAATAATTAATTATTGAGCTTTACTGTATACAGCTTTGTGCTGAGAATTATTTCAGCACAAAGCTGTATACAGTAAAGCACAATAACAGTGGCTTATTTTCTGACACTTTAGAGAAAAGAAAGCTCAAAATGTACTGGACATTATAGGCTGGAATTTTGGATCAGTTCGGAGTTCACTTTTCATATTTTCTTTCTAAATAATCCCAATAACACGTAATATTGGTCACAATTTTGTGCATATTTCAAGCTGCTGCATGATCAGGGGCACTGTTGCCCAAATAAACTTTGCAATGCAGATTTGTGCTTCCTATCATGCATGCTATAACTCATCTACACTGACATACTCTGATCCCTCCTAGTCACTCACAACGGCCATACCTGGTCATACTAATGCTGATAATCCCATTAAGCTCATCTCCCGACAATATTTTAAACCATTTAACCATTTAATCAGGTTAAGAATACATGATCCAGAAATTAGATTCATTATCTCCAGTCTCATTCACATTTCTACAGTGAGTCATATTTTAAGCTAAACAGCCTAGTTATCAAGAAACATTCGACATGAAAAAACAATGTGACTCTTCAAGCAACTGAAATGTATTTATTTGACTTCAAAAATCTGACTCCTAAATTGCACTCATTCGCTCATGTTTGTTCAAATGAATTAAAATTGCTAATTCCAACTAACTCTAGTTAATTTACTATTTTTTTGTGTGGCTTCGTTGTTGAGCTCAAAAAAAAGGAAATACTCCAGACAGTTGTACCAACTATTATAGCAGGAACTGCTCAAAAAACCATCCTGAGCATCATTTATCTACTTTATATCCTTTGCACTTTTTAAATCTTCATTTTTCGTTACGGTTTACATCATTTCTGCTTACAGTAATCATCAAATTTCATGATTGATCCTTACTTTTATGAAGATAGATCACAAGAAGCACGAAAAATATTGCTCTGGATGGTTTTCTGAGCAGTTCGTCCGATCTACTTATTTTGCATCCTCAGAAATATGAACTATGTATATTGACGCTATTAACACCATTTGCATGTCTACGACATTTTTCTCATCGTGGGAAATTACAACTTCACAACAATTTTAAGTATTTGCTCATTGCAAAGCAATGTTTTAGCTTGCTTGTCATATCAGTATTTCCAGTAGTACTACTGACACGTCTCACATCTAGTACAAGTCTCATTAACTTCCTGTTGCCCTACATTCTGCTTATATCTCAACGTAACCCCACTTAATGGTCACAACAATATCTAACAGCAAACTCAAACACATAATTCATCAGCATAAAGTTCAATTAATTAAAGCAAATTTCGGGCCCTACTCCCACTAGTTTCAGTTAACAGGCCTTTTATAATACCAAATGCTGTTAGCTAAATAATCAAGACAATTTGAATTTGGAAGGAATGGATGTAAGCTGAGACACCGCCATCTAAATGAAAATTTGATTAAAATGAATCTCAGACTTCATGCTTCAGACTGTCCCTTGTCCACTTCGAAAAATGCTCCACACGAAACTCAGTTCAGTAGTAATACTCTCAACATTCCATAATGAACAAGTATATACCCACATCGCGACAGTTTTAAATCAAGATGAGGACCAATACATCAAAAGAGCAAATTCTTTTGCTGTCATTTAACTTATTAAATCCCTATATACCTTCACAACTCTGAAGGGTCATGTTTTAATTTCCATTAAAAGTTTCTCCCAACACACTGTGCAATCAAATTTGGATGCAGCCTTCTCAAAACTGTTTACTAACATGCAATAATATGAATTATTTAACTGAAACTGCAAATAAAAATAGAATAACGTAACTTATGATTCAGTACAATACATCAAAATAATTCTTTTACATACAGAGAAATCATAATACTTTTCAGCTTTAATAATACGCTCATATATGTGAAGATTCAATGCATAAAAATGAGCAATTAATAAGACTTCTCCTGCTGCAACTGTACCATGAATTCCTCCAACTTTTCCTGAATATATCGAACTTGTTCTGAAAGACTATGCACTCAGTAAGCAAGAACACCAGAAAAACACAAAACACACGATGTGAGCACCAAATAATGTGCCTAATTTGTTTTTTATTCATTACAAGACCAAGTTCTTCACAAATACTGATTTCCTTACTTAATTCTTCAGCTAATTCGACTCGTCGACCAGTTAAATATTCTTTTTTCTTATTCCTGTCATGAGCCCATTCATCTAAAACATCCTGAAAATAAAAAGCATATTTTGCAGTTATCTACAGAAGTGATTTTAAAAGAAAAAAGTCTAAATTCGAAGACAAACAACTGATGCAAAAGAAATTCAGAGGATTATGAAAATACTAATTGGTATGAAATTAACAATGATAAGGGCCATATATTATTATTTTTAATTTTTTGCGAGTACAATGATTACACTCTTGTCTTTCTAAACTTGTATGGATTAATTTTTTCATCATCTATTATAGATCAATATTAAGATAAAATCGAAGCTGTGACATTTCAGACCTTGATTTCCTTTTCAAGTCTTCTTTGTTCAGTATTAGTAATTTGCTGACGTAATGCATTACATGTCAATTCAATCATTTTCTGTATACGATAAAAGAGTACAACTGCTTGACAGTCTACTTCGGTATCATTGTAGCCACGTTTATAATGTGGATAGAATCCTTGACATTCTACTGCCGTCTTCAAATCACAAAATACAACGATACTAGATAAATATAACATCAATAAACCTTCAAGAGATAAAACTGAATGATATATTGACAAAATCATAAGAAAATTTGAATCCAATAAGTAATTTTTTTTGAACAGCCTGAGTCAAAAAACAAAAAATAAAGATAGAATTCTCAACTAAATAAAATAAAGAAATAATACCTGATACTGTCGTTTAAGGAAGTGTTCTTTGAATATCAATTTCCACTGTTTTCGAATCAATTCGTAATTCAACTTTTTCAAATTTTTGGTTTCCAAATTCCTTTTCACAACAGTTACGTCATCGTCAAGTAATGACTGAGGATGATCCTTAAAAACTATTTCTATTTCCAACCATGATACAGAACATACCTAAATTACAAATATTCCACTCATAAATGGACACATTTTTTTCTCACAGGATTTTGCGCTAATATATTTTTTAATTCCTTTTGGATTTCAGCATTCAAACTGTTTTCAGCAGTTGGTGATTTCCAATAAATCCAGCGTGTCCAGAACGATGGACCGCAGCATTCGTCAATTAGTTTGTGTGTCTGAAATAGCAATTTCTATCTACCATTTCACTAATGATAAGAAGCATCTATATGAATTAATTTAAACCTCATTTAAACGCTCATTAACGGCCAATATCATGAAGTTGATGGCGTTATCCCAAGATCGACGGTCTGGTACTAAGCGGTCTTCCATTGCGTTTAACTGAATAACTCTCTAAAATAAAAAGTTGTAATAAAAGCAAAAGTATTTAGCGATTAGATTAAGCTAGGCAATATTTGAAGGATTTTTGAGAGCTTGTTTCTGATTACTAACAAAATGATTATGCAACGAAATTTGTGATATAATTTGCAAATTTTAGAGATTATAAAGTAATCAGATGCGAGAAAAAACAGATACTACGAAGAATATTTCTTAAAAGTAGGAGTAAAATGTTACGGGTACCAAATAGTCCATTGCTTTGTCATCCCATTTATGCTCAGAGAGTGCCGCTTCAAGAACTGCTTTTTTCAAGCCAATAAATATTTGAACATCATCATTTTTCAATTGAGCTGAATCATTTTCCATTTGCTTTTTGAATAGTTCAGACAATGCTTCCCATCCAGTCTGAAAATATTCTTCGGACTATTAAACCTAACTTTCATACGATGTTGAAATCAACATTATAATGGCTACAGCGTCCTCTGGAACTTAGCTTTTCATCACAAGGCTCTTAGAAATTCGAAGTATGTGAAGTCCCACCTGAATTGATTTGTTTGCTAAGTCTTTATCAGCCCAGTGTTTCATTTTGATGTCAACCAAGGTATTAAAAGCACCAGCATTATCAACAGCACAAGCTGGCAACAAAATGTGGTCAAAAACATGAGTTGATACCTGTACCGATAAAAAATTTTTGAACTAGTATACAGTGGAACAGGACAATAGAAAACATCATTCTACTACGAGTAGTAGACTTCCTTGAGATACAAAAATTTTGTAAGAATAATTTTTCGGCCACAATTCTGCGGCAAAAGATTTTATGCAGTGTCACACTAATTTTTTAATAAAAAACAATCTCCATGCTTCGTTTTTTAGTAGAAAACTTTCAAGTCTTTTGAAACTATTTTGTGAAGTTTTCAACAAAAGGTTGAAATAATTCTTGAGAAATCTAATAATGTACCACATTCCAGAGCTTTTTTTTCAAACTCTCTTCCCACTGCTCTGCAGGAATAAGAGACAAGTTGACTATTTCATCTAATATTTCACCCTTAGCTTTTTCAAATAACTCGTTTCGATCCAACTCCCGAATTAGAGGAAATTTATTTTTCCATTCTGTTTCGAGGTTGAAACGTGTTGCACGGAATGCATCGGCCTATGATTAAAAGCAAGTTTAAAAAATAACACAGAATGCTCAAACATGTGGAGCAGTTTTATGACCCTGTTATGCTTTCATACTTTGAACGAGCAATATTTTTCTCATTTCAGTTAATTAAGCTGCGTTCCAAATACAAGAGATCACATAATAAACTTTACCTGAGACTCGATCGAGTCTTTCACCATTCTCCAGAAGCATTCAGATACAGCTAATGACATATTTTTTGTCGTCACTTGTGAAGGCTTCAAAACTCCATCCCTAAACAGAAGAGATTAATTGATCAGGGAATGAAGATTTAGAAGTAGAGTAGTTCGTTTGTAATACAGAAGGTAAAATACTTACTTGAAAAGTTTAGAACCAGCGAAGAAATCTTCCTCGTATTTCACTATTGAATCAATACTTTCAGTGCTTGAGCCTTTACCTGTGACAACTGCATAATAACCAAGAGCTTTCATGGGGAAGAGTTTCCCTTCCAAAATCTTCTTAATTCTATCAGGATTTGCGAAATTTTTTTCCGCCAAATCAACCTGTGAAGATAAATTTAAAAAGTTGATTCAAAATGAATCCTCCTATACAAATATGAACTAAAGAAAGTAAAATAATAAAATATCTAACTTTGGTTAAGACCAAAATAGTTCTTTGACCAAATGGATCAATACTGCTTACAAGATCGGTTACATTACTGCGTTCAGCATCAACAGAGCCATCTAAAATACTTTTTAAACAATAAGGAATCTTAAATTTTTAAAAGGAATTGACTATGAATACGAAATGTGAGGAATAAGAAGCACTGAAGTATACGTAAGGAATGAGTATAGAAGTTGCATAACGTTTATAACTATAGCGTTTGAATTTTTGTCAAAGAATGATAGTGTCTGGTTTTTTTATATACCAGTACACATGCTCTATTACATCAATAATTATAGCTTTGAAAACTTCTAAACATCAGAGATATGAAACAATGAAATAAAAATATTATAGAAAGAATGTACCTTGTATGCAGAGAATGATAGCGTTTGGATTTTCCATATATGTTTTACACATCTTTGTGATGTCATCTTTTGTTTCACTAGCCATATCAATTGTTACAGTTGAGATAATTCCTGGCAAATCAACGAGAACCATTCGAGGAAGAGATGGACCTGAACGAAACAAAAACGCAAAGGTCCAATTATTATAATGATTTTAAAATATTAGAAAGGTCTTAAATTTGGCTTTTCCTTAAGCTACATACTTCATTCAATTTCTTTATTTGGAAAAACAATACTACACACAACAGAATATAAGTCTTAAGGAAATTAATTTAATAGGGACAAATATGGAAACTGGAATCAAATATGACCTGTTACCTGCTTCAATAGAGGTTTGTATCTATAACACGAAGAATATATTTTAAAAATATTTTACTCTTACTATACCAAATGTTGTAGATAAATTAAGCGTACCTTTTACTGTTAAAGCAATTACTTCATTTGACACCGTTTTACCAGCAGCAACTGAATTTCTCATTCTTATTTCAATTTCATTTCTAAGTTGCTTCAGTTCAGATTCCTTTGTCAGATCAAATTCTCGAATGCTATCTTTGAAACATGCTATATGATACGGCCCTTCACTCAAAGTTACCTAAAACAGTAGAAATTAAACAAATAGAACTTATGCTGGTGAATCCCAATCTTTAATAGTTCTTAAAATGTTTCTTGAGTTACCTTTACCGGAGCCCTCGTCATCATTTCACCCGAACCACGAGGGAATATTCGCGCTTGAGCAATCATTTCTAAGACTGATGTCTTGCCTAAAAGTTTTAAAAATAAAAACAAGACCACTATTTTCAAAGATATTCCCTCATTGATGAACACAATTTTTGAAAAACAATTTTAAAAAATGGATACCAGCACTCTGATCCCCAACAACAACCACACGTGGTAGATTATCAACCGTGTTGTAAGATGAATCATACTCCGAGAGTAAATCTAGAGCTTCCGAATACATATCGATCAAAGATCTCTGTCAAAATCATTCTTATACTAACCATTTCGTAATCAAAAAAATAACACTTTAATGTTTTGCACACAAGAGTTTCATTGGAATATACAAAACAAAATTTTGCAAAACTTACACACTAAACAATACTAAAAATTAATACAAAACTACTTTTATTTTCTTTAATTTTTTTGAAGCATCTTGATCTTTGAGCAACAGCGTTTGTTTTAAATTTTTGTTTTCTTTTTCCAATCGTTCTAGTTCTCGCTGATATTGACTCTGAAATTATATAATCAGTGAAGACTTGAAAGCACTTTCTCTAGCGTGAAAAAAAAAACACAAAAACCTGAGTTTTCAGTATCTCCTCCTGTAATCGCTGGATCCGTTCTGTCTCATTCATCTAAAAACTGTTATTTTGTGCGATTTAGTTCAAAAAACTTTGGGTTTAAATTCACAATACTAATAATTTACAGACGTGCAAAAAATTACTTTCAAGTATTCACTTTCTTTGTATTCTGGCGTATTCTGTTTTCGTCTGAATGTTTCTGACAAGGACGAAAATAGAGTTTTAGGTTCTGAAAGCTACATGATAATTGAGGACTGAGAAAATACTTTTGTTAAGAGAAGACCAAAAATAATTAATTTTCAAGAATTAGCAATGTAGCTATCATGAAAATGAACGAAACAGAAAATTGGAAATCTGAATCAGATAATGTGCTTACCATCATTTTTCGCAAAGTGTTGTTTCACTTCTGAAATCCTATGCATTATGCTACATGAAATACTTGAATATAAAAATAAGATAAATTCAATGCTTAAACAAGTGAAAATATCCTAGCCATTTATTTGAAGACCAAAAGTTGGAGGCCAAAAAAAACTCAACCATTTTGCGCCATGAAATCAAATCCCGAAAAAAATTGTCCATCTTGTGGTTCTTGATTAACTCCTTCATCTGAAAAAAAATTATCTGGAAATGCAACATAAAGTTTTGATCCTGCTTTCAATTTCCTAGAGCTCTCACGTAATTTATTCGTCAAAACTACAAACTATCAACCAGTAAACGAGCAGTAACAGGAAGACAAAGTAATAATTACTTTCAAGAATCTAAGCGATAAAAATAATGTAACTCTAAATATAAAAGCTAATCCTTAATACAAGAAAATACAAATAGAGAAACTGAAATTATAGTTTTATTAAAACGAAAATCCGTGGAAACTGCAAAAATCAAGTACTAATAAAAAGCTCATTAAACAATAAAATTTAAAAAAAAATACGAAACAAGGGTGCTCCGTAGTAAAACTTGCCCGAAGTGCACAACAAAGTCCGACCTTCAAATGGTTCGAATTTCCACATATTCTGCCACGTAGCCATTTTAGTTTGCAAGCTTTTCAGCCATTTCTGTTCGTTGATCAACCATTTTGCTTTAGCTTCACAATAATAACGCCTGTATTCATCGACAAGAGTTTCATCAACTTTGAGCCACTCAGATAATGAGAAATCTGGTAAACGTTTTTTCCACTCTTCATACTTCTGAAGTAGTAAAGAGCAATTTTTAAAAACCCAACTCTAGAAAACATTTTAAAAGATGTCATGAAGTCATATCATCATTGAATGAAATCTTAAAGTTCTCCGAAAACTTTCTGAATCAATTAATTAGTAGCTTTAATTTTTTACTAACATTATTAACTGCAACCGAACTACCGAAAACTCCTGCTGCAACCCAATAACGCAGCTTCAATGCCTGTTGTAACATGAATTTAGCAAAGTATCTTCTGCTTCGAAAATCTTGTCCTCGTTTGAATAACAGCCTGGAATTAGATTTTCAAGCAGTGAACCACTAAATTCTCGGCTTTTGGACAAACTTCGAAATGTTTTGATTAAACCTTTTCTTGAGAACAAACACTGAATACAATCGTGAGGTTGATACAGGAATATATGAAGTCCGTCCACTTCGAATCACCACCAACTTTGGTATGTTGTGTAGCACCATTTTTGATGTTCCTCAACAACTTTCTAAAGATAACTGACTGTAGTACAGAGGCATCGCACAAACGGCCATCTTTACGTAGAGGATATATCTGTAATAATGATTGATCAGTACCGATTTTGAGTATGAAACTGAAGAGAAAGATGGTGGAAAGAGCAAGGAAATATGGCTCAGCTGCTAATAAATCAAAATTATATTTGAAATCTAGCTGAAGAAGAAAAGACACGATATAGAGGCATAACAAACAAATATCTTCTACATCCACATACCCATCCCAATTCTTCATTACATCAACACTGCTACATAACACGAACACAAGCAGAAGTTGCTTAGTTGATTTTCGTCACAAGTTGTAGCACGAGCAGTGATTGAGATATAATGTTTTCGTAGTGCGTTTCAAACTTGGTAAATGTCGATTGGCCAGAAATTAGAGGTCAGAGTTTTGATATATCTACCATGTGTAGTCTAGTTTTTCCGGGTGGGTCTTGGGATAGCTATACGAGGACTTACAGTTATCATAGGAAGTACTTTGCATGTGAAATTAAAGACAAGTGTCATTTTCAAGGGACCACTAAGTATATCATTTATAAATGTTAACGACTTAAAAAATCAATAGTTCGGCAGAAAACCTGTCAGTTTATATAGCATCTGGTTGTATTCTTCTTTACTCATCTCATCTTTAAGTCCAATCTTTGATTTTCTTTAGTTTTAGTTTATTTATTTATTTATTAAAGTTTAAGTGCTAGTTGTGTATGTGGATTGGAACTCAAACGTCTGCTCTCTGTAGCGTATTTATTTTTCTGAAACTTTTCGAGAAGTGCTCTTTAAAGCACTGAATGTCTTGCGCAAACTCTGTGTGTACAAAAGCTAATTAAATATTTTGTCATGTATTTTTATTTATATTTTTAAATATCTTTGTTTTTATTTTAGTTTATTGTTAATTAACACTATCAATGAAGCTGCGTAGTAATCGCGATACGCAGGATCATCGTTCTGTCATGGAGCAATGTCCTATTACCGTCAGTCTGATGCAATCGGGAGAAACTGACAGTAGGAGGAAAACGAAAACAATTAGTAGTCGTAGTGGAAAGCGAACAAAACGGAAGGCACAGGTATTTATTGAATTTTGACAGGCTCAGGCAGTTTTTCATTGTAATAGAAGTTGGATTTTAGTTACTGAATTCGTATTTTCCTTTGACGTTTTGAATTACATGAATATGGAGATTATGGTAGACCGTAACAAAATTGGTTGGGACATATATTCGATACTATTTGGTCGTTTCTAGTTTATATATTACATGAAAAAAGTATACGTAACATGTAAAAATACTGGAGGATATCACAGCCTTAAAATAAAGTCACAGGTTAATAACAATATCACATTTATTTGCTCAAAATTTCAGAAATTGTTGATCGCTAAGTTTACAGGACTTAAATTCACCAACGACTTCTGATTCTGACTCAACATCACAGCATTTAGAACTTCCTCTTCTCAGTAGTGAAGATAGTACGCCTATAAAACGTAAAAAGGATAATAAAACTAAGAAGGATAATGTTGACGAAGCAGATACATTTGTCGTTCAAGAAGATATTTGCTCTATTCCAGACCATGTTTTGGTCAGTATTTGTATGTTTTGTGTTCTGTAACTGTTAATATTAGACATAGTAGACAGATGAATCGGAGATTATGTTTCGGGAAAAAGTGGGCTATGACTTGAGCATTGCAAACAGCTCATACAGTTTTTCAACTTTATCATCTCATCTAACTGTACCACAGTTGATTGGTTACCTGCAACTACTGTTGATTAGTAGTGTGGGCAGTAACATCTATCAATCATGTAACTTTGATTTGGAGGTTTTTTAGCATTTTATTTTTAGTCCCCGTTCTTTAATTGTTCTCGTTTTTTTTTCTGTTATGGTTATGTCTGTGTTTTTTTCACCTGTTCTAGTTTCTTAATTGGGAAAACTCGTTATCAAGCTTTTTCAAGGCAAGTTATTGTTTAGATCTCAATTTTCACACTGTTACCTATTGTGGATCGCATAAAAATAGAACGGGTTTGTCGAAGATGGCGTCATATTGCAAAGAATTATTCATGGACGAGAACAGTCGAATTTTCTTATACATCCTTACTTGGTGATTTGGGATGCCCACTTCCTTGCATGGTGGAACGTCCAACAGTAGGCAATAAAGAAGTTTGCTTTTTTTCTTCATTCAGAAGTGTTGGAAGAGTGTGATTAATTCCTTTTATCATCTATTTTTTCTGGTACTTCAGCATAGAGACTTTTGAAGTATTCAGCTTCTATAAATGCTTCAGCTGCTTGAAATTATCGACTGCTTGAATTTTTTTTAGATAAAGTCGTTGGCGCAGCGATGCGGTAATCATTTGCTTGAAATGGATTTGCATGCATTCAGGGACACACTGACATACAATGTATGCATGTGCTTTGCCATTTATTGTCCTAACTTAGCCGTGCTAAATATGTATGGAATTCAACTTACTAATTCCTCTCTAAAATCACTTGGAAGGCATTGTCCAAAGTTGGAAATTGTAAATTTTCATCGTTGTTTTCAGGTATACTTTAGTTATTTGCTTTATTATGTCGATCACAACTCCAGAACATTTAACAATAGAATTAATCATTATAAACATGTTGGATGTTTTTGCTTAATATGATTTAGGGCTATTTTAGTTTAAAATTTAGAATTTGACTTTAACAATAGAATTAATCATTATAAACATGTTCTGACGAATAGAGATTATTATTTCGATGTTTTTTCTCTGTGATAGTATTTAACAATATTTTTAAAATGTATTTATGTTTGAATAGTATTTTTATTGACAATCAGCAGTTTAACTGCGTGGTCATTTTGTTCCATTGTATCATTTATTTTATCCATTTCACTTTGGTTTTTTTTCAGTGCTGCTGATACTGCTGGGAATTCTTTGGTTTTGATTCAGGTTAATGACAAATATGTACATTCATTTTACTTTTTTGTCAGGAAAGTGTTGTGGAACGAGGATTGACATCTTTTTTTTCCAAATGTCAGAGTTTGAAAGAAGTGGATGTTGGAGAAAATGAACGTCTTACTGGTCTTCCTTCATTCACAGTTCTTCCGCGGTCCATCGTTGATCTTAGGATTGGTGGTTGCTTCCGATTAACTGCAGCATCACTGTTTGCTGTGAAAGATAGGTATGTTTCCAGTATTATCAGTTTTTTTAAATTAATTATTTTGAATATTTTTCTTAAAGTTAATGGATTACGTGAGTTAGGTGTCTTTAGATGTCCAGACCTGGTTGCTTTGACGATGAATAGTGTCGACAATATTTCACCAAATCATTTGAATAATTTTTTCGCGTCGCTTTCCAAGTAAGAACTTGATTTTTTCAGCAAGTATTTGAGTTATGCATGTTTTTTCAAATATATGTCCATGCAAGACCGTCTTGAAAAAACCATTTATTTTGAAGCTAATTTTGTAATGTGAATGATGTTATGAAAACTTTTGAAGTAATTTGCAAGTAATCAAACAGCACTGAAGTTCTTCCTTGATGATGTAATTGTAAAACATTCGAAAGTTTCCATTTTTTCAGTCTGGAGCTGCTCAAATTTGGTGAATGTTATGTTTCGCACACTCTTGGGGGAACAGAAATAAATTTCACTATGATGAAGAATCTCACTGAATTAACTGTTTATGACAATTTGCTGATCACAGATGAGGTTTCGTCAAATTTATGATTTTTACCTACTTTCTTAGTTTCATGAGTAAGAAACTGTACATTTTGTTTTCAAAGAAACGATCGGCTTAAGTTTCTTTTGAAATACTGATTCATACACTTAGTTTTTTAAAATTAAGTACCAAGACCGGTCAAGGAAAGGTAACGGAATATCTGATCTTTCTGTAATTTGTAAAAATGAAAAAAAATTGCATCAATGCGCACCATGTTCAATTTCAACTATAGGTCTTACGAAATACTGTGATGGGTTGCAAGCAATTAAAGTACGTTGACTTAAGCGGCTGCAGCCGTTTTGTTAGCAACAGCGGACTTCGTGAATTAGCGAAACTACCTCATCTTAGTCATTTAAATCTGGCATACATGCGGGTGGTAGATGACGAAACTATCCGAATCATAGCAGAAAAGGGTACTTTGCAGGTAAACAGTACTTGTACATAATTTCTTCATTATTTTCTTTTATATTCATTTTGTAAACTCACTTCTTGGTAATAAGTACTCATCAGTCTCTTATTTTATGATTTTGAACCAAGAAAAACCTTCTTCTGTGTTATTGATGTCAATATACTAGATCATCATTCATTCATGTAAAGTTTGAATGTCACGAATTGGTCGTGCTAGTTAGTTCCACATAGTCGTCTTTATGGTCCTGGTTTATTATTTAGTCCGTTATTTCTATTGCATTTTGATCAATGCATATTTATTTGCAGACCATATTATTGCATCGTTGTGATGAAATCTCAGATGAAGCCATTAAGATGCTTTTAAAGCATTGTGCGGTTAGTTGTTCATAACATACAGTTCTGAAAGCATTAAATTTTTGAATTGTGCTTTACTTTACAAGTAGGAATTCTTGCAAGTATTCAAGATATGATTATTCGTAGTATATTTCTCATTTATAGTGTTTTTCTGACTCGATTATATTGGTACTTGCAATTTTCCCTCAGAATGATATTAGATATCATAGCATTATGTGATAGCTTCACATACTTCGAAAACAAGATATCTCTAAAATTTTTAAGTTTGAAAGAGCTTAAAAAAATTTTAAAGTTTGAAAGAGATATGTGAAAACTTTTCGTAAATTAATATGTTTGTGTTTTTCAGTGCTTAACTGCTTTAGATGTTTCCTACTGTCCGAAAGTTACAGACGAATCAATGGAAAATATGTTGGTATATGTAGCTAAACGATATGAAAAAGAAGTATTTCTTCATGTCTTTCAGAAAGTTATAATTTAAGGAATCAGTGACATTTTGAAACTTCTTAATTTAGAAATGTGTATTTTCACTTGATTTTCATGTGAAAATTTTAGAATGGTGATACATTGTTGTAACATAGTTACTACTTGGTTGAAAATTAAAAATTCAGTTACATTTAAGCAAAGATTTTGCAGACAATGTTGCCATCATCGAGTAGAACATATGCTACACCACTGGAAGAAGTTGTTACAAAAATGAGGCGACATGAACGAGGTCTTCAAGGAATACTGGATGCGAATTTTGAGCGTCATTTGATGCGTTTTGAGACTTTCCACTATAATGCAGATAATTTATCAGAATTCACGTCAAATCCTGTATATGATGTTCATTTAGGACGTTACAAACCAAACCCAGATGGGTTTACAGAATTGCACATTTGGATTTCCCACAGCAGTATAACTCATCCATATCCTACTACACATCCAATGTTAAAAGTTGATGATCGCGACTCGATTGCAGAGCATGGCTCATCTATTTTTGAATTTAGTGTTGTAATAAGAATAAATTAGTTTCCTTGTATTGTCCAGTTACGTTTTTATGTACTTTAATTTTTTAGCTCTTTTGTGATCATGATGGTGGAAGATATACTATTCAGAGCACCACTGAATTCTTGGTTTTTTGCTACTACTAAACGGATAGTTGTCACTAAATGATTGATGAGGAGCGTATCTAAATTCTAGGTTTCTTATTGGACCTGTATGGTTTTGCATGACATTTATATCGGAAGGATGAAAGTTCTCATTTGTAAAGTTCATCTTATTCAGTGATTTTTTGTGAAGAAAAGAAAATATGTTTACCTGGCGTGCTTTGTGTTATTCCAAGATTTCTATCGGATTCATTCTTATCAATTTGTTTTGAATTTATGTGGCTCCCTTATTGATTCTGCTCCTCTCGTTTTGTTAACAAATGTCTGGTCACTCCAGATCTCTAACAAGAATTCAGTTTTCATTTATTAATGCAGTTAAATTCATGCTTCCGTCTGTCGTCTGCGTCGTAGATTGCAACTACACTATAATATCAAGAACTTGGGTTTCATTCGGTTTTGGCGCGACTGGAGCTGTCTTCAAGTCTACGGGTTTATTTGCTTCTCCAGTTAGGGTTGTTCAGTTATAGAGGGTTTATGAAGGACCTGTTGGGAGTGATTTCATTATGTAAGACGCAAGAGATTCAGTTGATTGTTATTCATGGCAGTAGTGTTGTGGGTCATTTTTTATTTCCTTATTACGGTCATTTTATATATGTTCTACTCACTAAAGATACCAAATAGAGTGTTTCTCGTGTCTAGTGGTGCAGTAATGGAGATCAGGAAAACATGGCATTCTTAAGGATTGGTTTGTGTGTGGAATTTTATGGAAAGTAATCGATTTGTATTTATAGCGAGCAGGCGGTACTTGCCGAACATTTTATGATGAGTACAAGGCAGAAACTATCGTTATCAGAAGAACAAGCTTCGGGAATTGACGTTCAATGGGGCTATTCAAACAAAGAACAAAATCTAAGTAAAGAAGTAGGTCCCGATTATTTCTTGGCACCCAAGATAGACGTTTTGGTACAGCATTAGAATTTAATTCTGTGGGTTGTAAAGTGTGACAAATCATTTGTCCTGTTTAAATGGTTTTACGTTTTTCATAGTGGAATCGTACTTGTAAGATTATTTTATCAGTGATTGGGATGATTGTCGTATGGGATCTGTGCTTAATCACATTTTGATTTTCGATGGTCCTATCCAAAAATGTTTCATGAGTATTACGGAGTGCAATTTTATAGTTGCAAGTTTTTTTGTGTAGTATTTTATCATCTAAATTTAGAGATGATTCTCACTTTCCTGTCGTTTAGTGTTTGCTAGGAAGTGAAATGTTTTAGGACTGTGGAATAACCAACTTATTCGTACTGGATAAGAAAGGTAAGGATAGCACCGAACTCAGAGAATTATCTATATCGAAAGAAAGAGGGAAGCGGTTTAAAAAAATCCCCGATGTTACGTTATGGGTTGATGAAACTACGAAAAAAGTATACGTTTAAAAGAAAAGTAATATGAAAAAGTTACATGTGAAATTTACATTAAGATTTATTTTGACATTTTAGTGTAACTTTCAAGTTATCGACTGATTACAGTGAATATCACGAAAGGAACTAATAGATTTTATTTTCCGTTTTCTTGAAATTTCTGCTGTATAAATACATGTTCGGAAAGTGATATGTACTTGTGAAAATATTCATGCTGTAAAATTTGTTAATGTCTAAATTTTTTTAGTAGTAACAGCAGGAGATAGAGTTCCATATATGTTTACTTTGGTAATAAGAGTCTTTTCAGTTGCTATCAAGAAGCATTATAAAACCTGATTTTGAGACAAATCTTAGTAATGCATGCAATTCGAAGTCATGGCGGGCATTGAAACGACAAAGAAAAGTAATTTATAGTTAGAAATATCCTATCTTTATTTAATGAATAATCTTCTATATATATCAGAACATAGTTTTATTTTAGGCAACACGAGAAAGCACCAAGGGTGATGCTTGGTATAATCTTCCTGCTGCCGAAATGACCGAAGAAAGAAAGCGAGATTTAGAAATCATTCAGATGAGGAATTCATTCGATACAAGAGCTCACTATAAAAAAAATGACCTCTCTGCACTGCCAAAATATTTTCAGGTGTTTTATTTGCAGTGCTTGAAATCGTTTCCTCTTCTTTCACTGAAAATTTTTGTGTGCTTTTCTCTATCTAATCCCTTCATTAAAGTTTTCAAATTTAGTTCTAAGTCGTTGTTTTTACTTAATTAGGCTTTCTACAGCTTACCAAAAAGATCGGCAACAAACCAGTGCTTTCATCCTTTAAAAAGGAGTAAATACAGCTATGGCTGAACATTATTTGAAATTGTTTATTTTTCTACTTTGTTTCGTGACTAAATATTTATTGTACTCAAAAATGCTTGTTAGATGTGAGATTTTCTCAGGTTGGTACAGTGATTGAAACGAAAGCAGATTTTTATTCGTCTCGTATACCAAAGAGAAATCGCAAACAGACCATTGTCGAAGAATTATTGGAAGATATGGATTTTGAAACTAGGCAACGCAGAAAGTATCAAGAAATCAAGAGTCGAGAAGCTATTACAAAGCGTGGTGCATTTAGGAATTTGTCGTTTCTTAAAAAAAAAAAGAAGTTCAGAGAAAAAGTCTGAATGGAACACAGGAAACTGCTTTATATATTTTATGTGGTGTGTGGATTTGTCTGGTTGTTTCGCAAAGGAGCCAGTATTTCTGTTGTTTCGTTGATTCTCGTTATTCCCTACATGCAGAGTTTGTTATTTACTGTATCAGTAGGATGCATTGAAAAATTAAGTGCTATTCTTATCCTGAACTTGTAAAAAACCCTTACTTGTTTTACTTTTGTGTGTCCCCTTGTGTTCAATTAAATAAATAAATTTAATGGTAACTGATGAAGTTGTGTGAAAAAGGCATCCTGAATCTCTTCTAAAAGTGAAGGAAGATCTGGCAGATTTTGGGAGTTTATTTTGTAAAATCGCGACATCCACTTACGGTCCACATAAACTGTATTGTATGGTCATTTCTTTGATAATGCTGTAGAAAGAAAGTGATTTGGAAGTCTGTGTGTTTCAGTTGCATCTTTCCTCAACTGACTTGCGAACAAGCATTGTGGTTTTGTAGTCATTTTAGAGGTGGGGAACTTACTAATTGACTCTGCGATTTGGATTCCTTAATTATTTATCCGGATGTATTAAGGCGTGTGTCTCTGGGAAATCTCATTGTAATCTTCGTATGTTTGAAATAGGTTGTTGATGGTAGATTTGTATCTGACAATCAATTTCTTTCAATTAAGTACAGCAGTCTTGGAATATTCATGTAGAGGTTGTTAGAACTGTTACATGAGCAGATCGGAAAGCGTTCATAATACATGCTTTCAAATGATATTACTGTTGTAATTTTTTCAAAATAAGACTGCAGATTTAGGACTCGTGGATAAATTAATACATTTGTAAAAGATTGTGGAATAATACGCAAATAAAATTAGTAAAAACTGATTGTAGCTATAACGCAAAAGGGCGGGAGGTCATGGAATCTCCATCCTGCGGTTATTTTCATATTTTTTAAGTTTCAGTTTCCACAAGTAGCGAACAGGAACACTTTGCATGTTACCACGAAATGCTTGCTCATATTTTATTATGGCTTATATCAAATACAAAAAATAATGCAAGATAAATGAAACACTCTCACTTAAAATGTCTGCTTGAATTTTGAGCACACACCACGACTCATAACTTTTTATTTTACTTCCATAAACTCTCACACGTTCTGTCAGCATCCTCACAACAGCCACTTCCAAGAGCACTGTTTCACTTGTCAAATACCGTTCTCGAAAGTTTTGTCGAACCTCCAACTTTATATTAAGTAGTTCGGCCGGAACCGTGTTTTACTTAATCTCGTTCAATATTCATTTTATTTACAGTTTATTGTTTAGTTACTTTTCCATGTATACATGACAGGATAGTCTTTGCTGGTTTTATATCTTGTCTGCTAGCATTGTCGTTATTGATTGTATTGATTGCTTAGCTAGAGGTTGGGTTTTGGTGTTACTGTTAGTTTTCGGAAATAGAGTGGGTGATAGCGTGTGCCCTCTACTGTGTTAAGATAGCATTTGCAAGCGGTTCATTTTATTTACAGTTTATTGCTTGGGTCAAAGTTATTGTTTTGCGATTTGAACTTGTATTTAAACTGATGATTAGCCAATTAACTGAATATTCTAAGCATATTCTTGAGTCTGTCTGCGGAATGTCTGGGAAAACAAAGGATATACATGATGCTCTAGTAAACGCATTCCTGCGTTCTATTTCTTTCCAGGATATATGGGATGACTTATGATGCATTTGCAAATTCGGTTACGCATGACGAACGATCATCAGTTCCTAAATATGTTCAAAAAGGGTTTTTCTATCGATGCATCCTTCGTAAGTTGCCATAATCGCCTTTCAGACTATGAATTTTATATGCTCTGCTACTGGACATCGGATTTTATTTACACTACGTTTTCCCTAATAGCATATATCATCTCTAGCTATAATTATTAAAAAATCATAATCATTCTTTTATTTCATTCTTACTACTTACTATTTTCGGAAGTATGGTGGTGGCAAATCAAAAATTAATCGCAGTAATGAAAAAATTTTACAGTCATAATTATTTATGGACACCTTTAAGAGCGCCTGTTTTTACCATTTACTTTAATTCACCATTTTTTGATTTCAACACGATACAGAAATTTCCCAGTTTGCTTGTTGCCTATTAATAGATAAATATTGTAATAAACTGCTAATGCTAAATAAATAAAGGAAATGTTTCGGACGATGTAGACGACTTTGGTTTGCCTTATGTACCGAACCGTAAAGCTCTTGCTACACGAGTTCACTTATCTAATTTACCACCACTATTGTTACCTGTTGTGACCAATGAATTCATTCGAGTTGTGGCATCGTATGTTGCGGGTAATATATATGTTCTTTATTTATTTGCTAATATATTTTCAGTATCACATTTTCAGTCTCAGTATCTTCTCCGCTTTATTGATTCTAGCGCTGGATTGCATTTCGGCACTCTGACTATACTTGTACCGCGTTCAGATTTGTTGTGCTAATCTTCATTGTTTCATTTTCGCGGAATCCACGGCATTGATCGAATGAGATGCTTTTGAGCATCTTCTTAAGCATTGTCGATTGGATATATGCCTCGACGTAATCAGATACTCTAGTATCTGCGTAACGTCTATTAAATTTCATCACTATCCGGACCGAAGTCATCACATACGGAATTATTCCCGTTCTGCATTTCATCTTTGCCTCCCGTTTGTGAGCCAGTAAATCATATTTTCGCTTCTTCTCGGTCTCGACCGCTATATGTCGCTTCTTGTCATATACCAAGATGTCCAGTCGATCTGCTTTTGTTCTAACTGCAGTTTTTACTCACGTATGGACTCTTATTTCCACTTCTCATTCGCGAGATCTCCTGGCACCGGACGGCTTACATGCCATAATTTTTGCAGAGTCCTAAATGGACCATCACAGGACCTCATTGTGTCTTCTAGTATAGTCGTGTTGTAACATTTTTTCGCACTGCGTCGGTGGATGGTCCACTGTCTTCACACGTTCCTTACAATGTGAATTTATGCTGTTATCAGCATCAAACATATTTCTGTCTTGGATGTGGCAGTATCGGCACTTCATCCTGTAGGATTATTTTTCCGAATCATAACCACATTGAGGAATCTGTCATGAGGTTAGCTCATTACTACGGATCTTGTATAGCCTTGCATGGCGAATTTTCTTTTATATTTCGTTATGTAGTGGCGTTAGCTGGACTGCTAATACTTTCGACATTAGATTTTCTACGTGGTTCTTTAGATGTGTTACAATAATTGTAAAGTACGTGCTGTGAACCTTTTTCTGGTTCAAAATCGTAGCCCTGCTGGTAGATATGAGCGCGGTTTCTACAAGTGCGTTATAAAGCGGCAAAAGCATACGTTCACAGTCTTTCTAATCATGCAGATTGACTGTGAATTCCGTACCTATCTAGTGACTGTCTGATATCATGGTCAGTTTCTTGCAAATCCTCTAATTCGAGTTTTAGCACTTCAGTATTACAGTTTATTAAACCCATGACATGCACATTTACTGTCTTGATAAAGTTTTTGTCGTTTAATGCAGTTCGGCTGGTCGCAAAATCTCTGCTCGTACTTTATCGTAGCGTTCTCGAGAAATTTTCCGATCTGTTCTGGTATATTGAGCTTTTAAATATCCTTAATCAGATTGTTGTGGTTAACGGAATCGAATGCTTCTTAATGTCATATCATGGGGTAAATAACTGAATTCCATCCCCTCTGCAAACCAGATTCAAGAGTGCCTGGTCTTTCGCACCTTGAACCTGATCAACAGTTCCTAGTTGGTTGTTTGCAAGTAGTCTCGTAGCAATATCTACTTTTATGACTCGTGCCAACATCTGACATACAGGTTATTGGCCTGAACTGAAGTTGCTACCTTTGTTTGGGACATGTTTTCAGGTACATCATCTCTTTGTATAACCATGGATCATGTTCCTCCTCATCCAAACAGATCTGCCTTTTTATTTTGTATAGATCCGGATCTCAAGAGGTGTACTTCTTAATGAAGAAGTTATAGATTTCATCAGGGCTCGTCGCTTTCTTGTTGGACAACAGAAAACTATGTTTCCAGATTCAGATGGAAAAGTATCATACACTTTCATAATCTGAAAA